GATAGATAGATAGATAGATAGATAGATAGATAGATAGATAGATAGACAGATAGATAGATAGATATAGACAGATGATAGATGATAGATAGATAGATAGATGATAGATAGATAGATAGATAGATAGATAGATAGATAGATAGATAGATAATAGATAGATAGATGAGAGATAGATAGACTATGATAGATAGATGGATGGATGGATAGATAGATGATAGATGATAGATAGATAGATAGATAGATAGATAGATAGATAGATAGATAGATAGATAGATGATAGATGATAGGTAGATGCTAGATAGATAGATAAATTTATTTAAAATAAATAAACAAGGAATTTGGCTCTGATAATGCCATTTTGCAAAATATCTGGTATTTTATTACACATTTATAATACAAACCTTAGAATTGATATAAACATTCTTTCACACACACAAAAACAACAACAAAAACCATATAGTGACACGTCTGAGATCTAAGTGTTGCCGGTCAGACACTAACAGCCTGGTCTCACTTGTTTCTGGATGAGGGACAGGCAGGCACTTGGTTCTTTCCGGCACACCTGTTCCACCGCCACCCTGTGGCACCAGGCGGCGTCCTCAGGCGGGGCCTCCCTGCTGCGCCCGACCAGGTGTTCTCACGGCGTCCTCCTGTTTCTGCTGCCCCTTCGTTTTCAGGAAAGCCCTTGACTCTTAACTGCACTGCGCGATTTGGCTTCGAAAGGGACTTTAAGCCAGTGATCAGATGGTACAGCAAAGATTCCAGCCAGGAGCTGGAAATCCCAACGAAAGAGAGAAGGTAAGAAGGATATCAGAGGGCTATATTCTTTGCAGCCCACAGCAAATGCTTTCACCTTTGGAAACCTCTAAAATGCACACACAGAGGGGAACACACGCATGCACACACGCACGCACACACGCACGCACACACGCACGCACACACGCACGCACGCAGTTGATGGTGCAGCTGCGAGCACCAGCCAGTGGTGAAAATAAAAGTACAAAAGTGCATGTTAATTTTAACGTGGGAGTCAAATGCAGTTTCTGACGGGGCCACGTAATGAAGTATTGTAGTTGCTTTAAAGCTCAGTTTTAGCAACAGTTTGCCGTGGCTGCTTTAAACGTCAGGTTCACGGGGAGACAGACCCACCACCAGGCTGCTTGAGCAGAAGCCGCCAGTCCGACGAAGGGGAGGAAAGCTGCCCCCTACCCAACTCCCCTTTCCCCAGTGCCTGCCGTTTAGAGGGTCCAAGACTCCGGATTCGTAACAGCCAGAAAGTATGAAACGAGGAAACGGTACGAGAATAAGGGGTCTGACCAGACATCATGTGAAGTGAGGTATAGTTGAAGCAATGCCACCTGGGGAAGGAGACTCAGGCCCAGTATCTCTCTGAAGTGCTTGGAAGCTATTATGTTTTATAAAAAACTAGACTTAGTTTGTTGATCTCAAGAGCACAGAACCCAGATTAGTGGCCAGAATTCACTGGGAAGGCAATTTGGCTCAATAAAGTGGAAAACTCTAGCCATTCAGGTCGATCCAACTCCTCGCAGAGCTGGACATGGGCCCCTGGAGGGTTAAGGGCTTGGACCAATCGATCAGGCACGTCGATGAGGGATATAGTTCCTCGGCTTTCTAAGATCTATTCCAAAGTCAGGGTCTATGGATCAAGCACCCTTCTGATTTTTAAAACATTTCAATAAACAAATATAATATCATCTTGAAAGTATGTAACAGTATAAAAAATAAAGGACAGATTTTGGGAACAGTAATAAAATTTAGCAAGAACTTCTAAAACAAGGAAAGTCATTGGGTTTCCTACTAAGCTCTGATATTGCATCAAAGTTCAAAGTTGCCCAGTCTGACAGAGTATGTTCTGACTTCACCTGCCCTTGGGTTTGGATCTGTTTCCCACCCGCCGGCAATGTGAGCCCTGTGAGCCTCCACCCCGCCATCTGCAACCCACCCCCAAGGCCCCTGTAAGGAACGGGTACGCGAGAGGGGACAGGCTTGGCGCATCAGGCAGGTGGGGAGCGGTCTTGAGAAAGGCTTGGCTCTGTAGTCTCCAAGCAACACGGCCTACCACGTCATTCACCAAACGACGTTCCTCCAGGTGAGGACAGGCTAGAGATCGGCAGCTTTAGAGAATCCAAATTTTGAATGAACACCAAGACTCCACTCCCTGGAGGGAGCAGGACGGCACAGGCGGGGAATCAGGTTCCCACGTCAGGGCGGCGTGAACGCAGACCCCCTTCTGTGCCTGGTCTTCGGCGCCGGCCAAGCGAGGCCAATCATGCCAGTGCCTCGGGTGCCTGTGAGGTGCGAGATGGCGGGGACTCGATACCCCCACTTTGTGCTCAGAAGAAGGCCTGGTAGGTAGAAGCCCTGTGTAGAAGCTAGTCGCTCTTAATGTTATTCTTAAATTATTGATAGAGTCTGTTCTCAGGGGAAACGCTAGACTGAGCAAGGTCAGTTGAGACCTACAAGGAAATTAGAGCTTAGTGTATGTAAATGTCGTGAACGATGCATAGCAGATTCAGCAATTTAAAAACGAGCCCTCCCTGACCATATTGTGTCCTTTTGGCATCTCCTACTGTTGGGCCCCAGGGCTCTTCAGAAAGTCAACTGTGGGCTGTTCATATGGGTTCCAAACACCGCAAGTGGGTGTCATTTACCGACTGAACTGCTGTGATATTTTTCCTCCTTTCCTAGGGTTAAAGCCACCTTGGAGGATGAGGTCTTTGAGAGCGTCATCTGCTTGAAAGAAGTTACTCAGAGTGACCTTCACAAGACGTTCATTTGCTTTGCCCAGAACTCCATTGGGAACACCACCCAGTCCGTCCAGCTGAGGGAGAAGAGAGGAGGTAGGCCCGGAACGTCGCTGCAGAACGCGCACAGCGCTGTCATCGGGGCGGGGGTTCCTACGTCACAGCGATGGTGGTGCAGCAGTTACTGTTTACTGGGTCAGACAGCGTTCTACGCACTTTGCTGTATTAACTCATTTAATACCTTGACCAAGGTCACACAACTAGGAAGTTTCATGTCATCGATCCAGGGATGGTCTTCTTAACCAATATTTTGCATGCTGGGGCTATGTCAGAAAAGCTTATCATTTATTCATTTACTCATGCATTGGATAAATACCTATGCAAGCTCTAGGCAAAAGGTATTGTGCTAGAAACTAGGTCCCTTTTCCTATTTTCCTTTCCTGGCTTCCGAGCCCAGAAAACTTGATGGTCAGGTATTGGAAGTGAGAGAAAGTAATTTTGCTCAGTATCCAGAAGGATATGTGTACATGGCAGATCATAACCCTGTAAAGCTGGAGCAGATATTCCTAGCAAGAAATCGCTTTTAATTCTTTTGAGAAGAGACTCAGAGATGAAGTTGATATCATTCATTCATTCAATTAATAAGTGGTTCTAGAACAGGACATTGTGAATGCCCACAAGACTTAAATAAGACAAAATCTGGGTCTGGTCCCTACAGGACGCTCTGTAAAGGTGTGTCTCATGTGTTAGGTGCCACAGAGGGTGCACGAGTGAGCCACATGTAGCTCCTGGCCTCAGGAAGCTTAGACTTTAGTAGGGGCAATAATACATGAAAATAACTCACAGTATACAATGAGAGGGGTGCACATGTATTGTGTGGAAGTTTATGGGGAAAATAAATAAAAATGGCTATGACCAGGTTTCCAGGCCACCCTGATCAGGACCCGCCCATTCCCCTAGGTTCTCTCCAGTTCAATGTAAGATAGTCCCCTCAAGGTGTGACTTAAGGCATTTCCATATTCAAGAGAAGTGCTTCCAGTAGCAGTGATCCTGATGGAATAGTGGGGCCCAAAGAGGCTCTGGGGGCCACAGGGTGCGGCCTGCCCCGCAGTGCTACTCTGCGTTTGCTCACGCTCTGTGCCCCCCCAGTGCTGTTCCTGTACATCCTGCTGGGCACCGTCCTGACCCTGGCGGGCACACTGACGGCGGGCGCCCTCCTCTTCACATACTGGATCGAAATCGTGCTGCTCTGCCGAACCTACCAGAACAAGGACGAGACGCTCGGGGGTGAGTGACGCCACTGTGCCTGACTCTGCCTCTCAGAGCCGACGTAGGCAGAGGAGCCCCAGAAATGGACAGTCCCTGAGGGATGAAGTCGCGCTCCCCGGGCCTTGAGGCTTCTCCAGGTCTGATGGTGCCCACCTGGGAGGCCTGGAGCAGGCAGAGAAAGTCTCTTTTCATTCCAGTTAGCAGGAACCTTGCCAAAGTTGGACTTGAAAATAATCTCCCTGCTCACCAACTTAAAGCAATATCATAAATGACTGAACACCTCCGTGCCTTAGTTTCCCCTTCTACAGAGTGGAGTTGTGACCACAAATTCGATCACAATGATCGCTGTGAGGGCCCGCTGGGCTAACGCCTTAGGCTTTTAGAACAGCCTCTAGCACACAGTGAACACTCAGCGCTGATTCTCCCCAGCACCGAACCACGCCGCTCGGTGCATTGGCCGAGTGAACTGTCACCGCAGTCCTACAGCCAGAGCGGCCTGGGTCACCTGCCCAGATTGAACTGCTAGGCAGTGTTAGGGCTTGGGACATGCACCCAGGCAGTTTTGCTTAGAGACCCATAGCTATTACCTCAGCCAGCCTCATTTATAAAATGAGGGGCTGGAAGTTGGCGGAACTGTCCCCAAAAGCATGAAGTTCCATAAAATGCAAGTAGCCTATTAATGAAGTGCCAGTGTTCCCATGAGGCAGAATCAGGGCGCTCGTTAATGTCTGCTTCTTCAGAACGGACGAGTTGCTTCTGTGTTTCTCTAGCCCTCGAGTCCCCCGAGCTTAGAATGTTTGCAGTGTAAGCAAATGATCCTGTTGCTTGGAAAGAGCACAGCCCTTCTGCTGGACTCTGGGGCTAATCCCTTACCTGGCAGGGAGGCCCCTCCGCGCAACGCTTTCACCACACCAGCCACTAAGGGGCAGCTGCCAGATCCCCCGGGAATCGTGAGTCAGAGATACACCGGTCCCACCATCCTTGAGACCATTTATTGAAAATCCATACTAGAAATCCTTACGTCAAGAGTGTTTTTGAGACCTATTTAAATGAAAAGTTAGCCTTTTTGAATTAAGCCAATATCTAATCAATGTTTTAATTGTTTCCCTGGACAACTTCATAGTTCTTCTACTAAAATGCTATTTGTCTTAAGATCCTAGAGCTTGTACAGAGAACCAATCAGCTGGGAACACTGAAATGTGCCCGTTCCCTTTCTACTTCGCACGAACACTTTAGTAAACTCTGATGGGGCAGAACCTATTTTCAGGCACAATAATTCAGTGCCCTCTCTGGCCAACCTAATGTTTTCCAGCAAAACTGTTTCCTGTGATGTTCATGACAAAAGTTTCGAGAGACGTAGAATGTCAGAATTTTGGAGGACCTAACAGGTTTTCTAATACTTCCACTCTCTAATTTTATTACCAAAGAAATGTAATGTTTTCAGATTACAGAAAAATCCTTGTTTGCTGGACTGTCCAGCGGACATGGAAGGAACTGAAGCAGCTGTGGCATGTTCTGTGTTTAACTGCACAGCACTTACCTGCTGGCCACCCTGTGCGCGGCGCCTTCCTCCTGGCAGCGAGGAGCCTCGTGAGGGGCCTCCGGGGCCCGGCTCCTTGTGCCCCCCTCTCACTCCAGGCCTCCTCTACTCTGGCACTTCCGTCCACTAGGGCCCTTCGTAGGTCCACATGGAACCAGGGTTCGAAACTGTATCAGCAGCGGTGCTATTACCGTTCTGTAGCATTACTTACCAGGCACCACGCTTTTCATGCGCCTTGTCTCGTGCGCCCTGAAAGCAGCCACCCGGGGCGTTTCGCTGGTCGTTTGGGGGGTTCAAGGGGAGGTGTGCGTGCCCGGCCCTCCCCGGGCCTGCTGGGCTCGGGCGGAGCTGAGCGCCAGGCAGCACACTTCCCAGGGGCAGGCTCTTCTTCGATGTGTGACTAATGAGACAGCAGCACTGGATGCAAAGAAGGCTCCGAGGAGCTGGGGAGCACTGGAGGCTGAACCCCAGCAGGCAGCCCGGCTGCAGCAGTTTCAGCAAGTGCACTCGGCTCCAGCCCCGGGCAGCCAATGGGTGCCACTCCGCTCTTCAGTTTTGGAATGGACTCGCTGCTGTTTTGTTTAATCAATTCAGTAATGCTCCCAAATCTTAATTCTTTCCCACTTGCCATACATTTCAAGCATTTGTAGGTATCCCATGATAACCAAGAAATCCGTAAACAGCTTTCGTTTTTTATCACCCCCTCCTTCAGATAAAAAGGAATTCGACGCCTTTGTCTCCTATGCGAAGTGGAGCTCTTTTGAGAGTGAGGCCGCTTCGTGTGTGAGTGAGGAAAACTTGGCCCTGAATCTGTTTCCTGAAGTTCTGGAAAACAAGTTTGGATACACCTTGTGTTTGCTTGAAAGAGATGTGGCCCCAGGAGGAGGTAGGTCCTGCACGCCAAGAGAAATTATAGAACAAAGGGATAGTTAAATGCCCGGGCTCTAAGTGTTCCTGTCACGCTGTCTGTTGGGATATACACCTCCTGGAAGGTTTTGTGAGCTCAGACCATTTGGGGCAACGGCACAGGAAGGCATGTGTTGCTCTGCATGTCCCATCACCTAAAACATCCACCCTCAGAAGGAAAAATAATGCCGGGCCATAGGGAGGTTTCCCCACAAAGATGTCTTTCCTGGCTCCTCAGTAGGAAGCCAACTGTCCTTCCAAACGGCTGGCCCTGCTCCCTGGGACTCTGCCGGCCACAGACCGCAGCCCTGGGCCAAGCAGGCTGCTGGAGCCTGGGCCAGGCCTGGCTTGCAGCCCACGTGCGGACCTCGCCCTGTCCTGCTGACCTCCACCCCAGATACCCGCCGAGGGGCCTGGAACGTTCCATGGCCCTCTGTGACCCCAGCCTACCTCGTTCCAACAAGCTTTGCTCCTAGAGGGACTGATTGTGTGAGGAGAGGGGCACAGGGAAGAACTGTGAGCTGAGAGCCACTAGATTCGAGTGTACCCGAGTAGATTCGAGTATATGCTAACTGTGGGTAAAGTGGGCATGGCCATTGTGAGACAGCCCACCAAGCCCTGTTCCTTCTGGAGGCGTGTCCTTGCAAGGAACCCTCTGGGTACACCTGGGAGAGTCGAGGTTATTGTGACTCAAGGTTGAACAATAACAGTGCAATTAATTAATTCTCATTTCCAGCCTACACAGAAGACATTGTGAGCATAATTAAGAAAAGTAGAAGAGGAATATTTATCTTAAGCCCCAGCTACATCAACGGGCCCAGTGTCTTTGAACTGCAGGCAGCGGTGAACCTCGCCTTGGATGACCAAACACTGAAACTCATTTTAATTAAGTTCTGTTCCTTCCAAGAGCCAGAATCCCTACCTCATGTTGTGAGAAAAGCTCTCCGGGTTTTGCCCACAGTCACTTGGAGGGGCTTAAAGTCAGTGCCTCCCAATTCCAGGTTCTGGACTCAGATGCGCTACCACATGCCCGTGAAGAGCTCTGAAGGGCTCACGTGGAGCCGTCTCAGGGTTTCCTTGAGCACTTTCCCACCCGAGAGACTCAGTAAAGCAGAAGCGCCTGGGAGGGACTCCCAGCCCGGGGAACGGGGGCCTGGCCCGCACCACCGCCCTGCCCCCTCGCAAGGAGAGACATCGATGGACCCGGCGCAGCTGGTCTGAAGTGCAAGGTGCTCGGCCAGCCCTGGGCGAGCCCCGCAGGCCCTGGCACGGCCCTGACCCCTGGCGGGCCTCTGCTTTCCTGGACAGGACAGAGGGACGGGGAGTTCCCCAGACACCACCCGGTCAGCACGCAGCGCCCTGAGATTTTCTTAGTGCTCCACAGAACCAGCAAGCGCATCCACTTTGACTTTGTGGTTATGGGCTATCATGTCTACTATGTATTGTTCATGAAAATTTATATATATTTGCAATAAAATAAATATTATTTTATTAGAAACAAGCAATCTAAGCTGCCAAGAGCTTGCCTGTGAGGAAGGTGATCCTTCCTGCACGGCCACCTGTTGACTCTGGAGAACAGAAAGCGGGTGGAAGGGCAGAGTCGCGGACCGAGGAGAGGGGCCGCAGCAAGTCTCCACTGGGTGCTTGGGGGAAGCGTCCCCTCTGGGCAGGTGAACTGGGCTGACGCCAGGACACGAGGCCTGGGGAGCACAGCAGGGATCTTTTCAGCCCCTGCCTGCGCCTTGCCTTTGTGCAAGACCTGAACTACAGAGCCTCACTCGCAGCCAGCGGAAGCTGGGACCATCTAGGCCAAAATGATTGGGCCAGTGAGCAGACCAGCAGCGACAGGCAGAGTGGGGAGGCAGCCGAGAAAGAGTCTGAGAAACGGGTACACACTGGTTAAACGACAGCAAGGAGGAGCTTCTGAGCCATTGGCCCCCGAGGCTGACACTTCCTACATGTGCTTCCTGATCTCCTGGTCTCAGGTGAATCCTCCCAGGTAATGCGTGACTTGCTGATAGACAGGAATTTTATTCTCGCACGTCTGTTTTCCTCCTGAGAGTTCAAACAGTGTTCTAGGCACGTGTGGATGGAAAACCTTCACGCTCTCGCCTCCCTGATGGAATGGGATGCTTCATTTGAATGATACAGAAAAGCAACTTCTGGGCTCATTCACATGGAATGTGTCACATCCACTGAATAACTGTGATCCAAATTTGGAGTGACTAACAGCCCTGTCACTGGGCCACGGTCGGAGCCGTGTGAAGCCTGCCAGAGTCTTTCTTCACAGACGCGCCCACATCATAAAAACCACTGTGGCTTTGGCACCAGCAGCATCCTTGTTGGGAATCCAGTGATGAAGTTAAAGATGGGTTGAAGGGTATAAATTATTCTTGCAGAAGTTTCTTGTGGGAAGGCTCATTGTAGGGCTGGTTGGGGAAGAGCCCACACTGTCCTCATGACTGTGCTATGGGGGTGCCAGAATCCCCCGTTTTCCTACCGTAAACTCTCTGGGACCTAAGACTCAGATACCTCTTTTGGCCAGCCTATCTCAGTTTATTTATTCTAAATAAATATTGCTATACTTAATCTGTCCTGTGGTCCAGAGTTCTGTTCTGAGCTTAACAGAAACTCAAACTGAGCCTCCGGTTTGTATATACACACACAAAAAAAGATTTTAGTCTAACATTTACAGAACACACTCTCCAGGTTAGTTGGTACACAGGAGATGACAAATGAACATTCAGGACAAAGGTTTATTTACATTTTACATGTAAATCAATGAAAACAAAGTGAACAACCAAAATTAATTTATTATATATATGAGAAGGATGGTAATTAAACAATTAGACTCAGAACACAGTGAGCAGAGTGTCATTTCCCACAAGCCCTTCTAAACAGGCGGCGCTAGGTTCTGGTTCCTGGCTCGCACCTATTGTCCAGTGGGATTTTGACGGTCCGGAGAATTCTCACTCCCACAGAGCTCTAGTTAGGACTGTGGCCACCTTACTCCTGACCCTGGATGGTGTCTCGCAGCAGGCAGGCCACAGCTTTCCCGGGCTCTTCTTGCTTTTAATACCTATATTTTACTGTCTGTGTTATTTTCAGGTCACAGTTACAGCATACACACCTTATCTCTCCCGGTAATTATAGCTATAAAACCTGGAAAACGCGTAGACAATCAGTCTGAGCGTTCAGAAAAGTACATAGAAACAGGAAGACTGGAGAAGCCAAGAATTCAAAGTTCCATGGTTTTAATCTTCTCCAGTGTCCTCTGGCTGAGACTCGGCGCAGCCTGAAACCCAGACGTGGACATTCGTGATAACAGAATGAGTTCCAGAAAAGTCCTCTAATTCTGCCGTGAAGGCTGAGAAAAACGTTTCCTAACACTCCTCATCTTTTCCTCTCTGAGATCTTTCCCGTCCCGGCCCCCGGGCAGTCCTGTGCCCTGGCAGTTGTACCAACAAGAGGAGCGGTGCTAAGGTCCCCAGGGTCCGGGCGCGCCCGGAGTTCGGCCCGATCTCCAGCAGGGCGCGTGCAGGAGCGGCCGCCGAGGTTTCTCTCATTGACGTTTCTCTCTCTCTCCTTCTCCCTTCCTCTCTGTCTAAAATCAATAAAACCATATTTTTTAAAAAAGAAAACATATATTGGGTAAGATATCTAAATACCACTTGCAGTGGTAAAATATTAATTCTGAGTAGAAAGTGAAAACATAAGTAATTATATTTTAATCCCTTGTGCAACCACTAAAACAAACAAATAGAAAATATTGTTAAAACGTGACAGATAAATTAAAATGGAAAATAGAAATACTCAAATATCCCAAAAGAAGAAAGGAAAAGGGGAACAGGGAAACAAAATACTGAGGATACAAAAGGAAATCAAATAATACAATGGTATACATAATTTCAAACATATCCATAATTACATTTAATGGGAAATGTATGAAGATAGTTGTCAAAAGACCAAGGTTATTAGAAAGGATTTTTTTCTACCCTCACCCGAGAATATTTTTCCGTTGCTTTTAGGTGGAGTAAGAGGGAGGGTGGGGGGAGAGAGAGAGAAACACTGGGGTGAGAGAGACACATCGATAGGTTGTCTCCTAAACTGGGGCAGGGGAATGAACCTGCAGCCGGGGTACGTGCCCTTGACCAGGAATCGAACCCTTGACCTTTTGGTGCTTGGGCTGAGGCTCTAACCACTGAGCAACACCAGCCAGGGCTAGAATGGACTTTTTTAAATGACCCAACTATATTTCCTCTACAATAGACACATCTCAACTATAGTGATACAGGAGGTTAAAGGTGAAGGGTTAGACAGATCCAGCACGTGAACATTAGCTGAAAGGAAGTCAGAGGACCCATATTACCACCAGCTCAACCAGGCTGGAGAGCAAAGAGCATCACCAGGGTTAAGGGTGATACCACACGAAACAAGACACAAGTCTCAAATGCGCATGCACCAAACAACGGAGATTCAAATCACATGGAGGAAAAACCGACAGAGCTAAAAGCAGAAAGAGAGAAGTCCACACACGGAGTTAGAGACATTGATAAAATTAGTAAACAAATTCATTCAGCGAGGGCTGTAGAAGACCTGAACAATACCACTTAATTCATAATTGCTGATCTTCTAAACAATGTAGAACACCCCACCAGCAACAGCAGGATACACATTCTTTTCATGTGCACATAGAAAGCTATCTAAGAATATCCTTACCAATATCCTAGGTTATAAATGAAGCGTTAACAAAAATAAAATAATTATACAAAGTATGTTCTCTGTTTAAAATGGATTTACACTGGAAATTAATAACAGAAAGATGAAGGAAAAATCGTAATCTTAAAAATTAAACATTACATTTCTAAGTAATCTCTGGGTAAAACAAGAAGTCTTGGGAAAGTGAAATAATATTTTGAACAGAAAAAAATAAAAATACAACGTATCAAAATCTGCAAGATGAGGTGAAAGCCATACTTAGGGGAAATTTATAGTGGTAAGTGCTTATATTAGAAAAGTAAAATATTTCCAATTAATAATCTAAACTCCTACGTTAGCAGGTAGGAAAGAAGAAAATAAGAAGAATGAGAGCCCAAACTGATTCTGTGAAACACAGGGGAGCAATGGAGAATTAACAGCAGAAGCAGGTTCTTTCAAAAGCAATGAAATTAATAAGTGTCTAGCAAGGCTCACCAGGAAAAAAGAGGGCGGACACAAATTGCCGACATCAAGGACGAATAAAATGATAACACTATAGACCCACACATCTCAAAAAGGGTAAGGAAGGAACACGATCTATAACTACAGGAGCCCACACTCGGCGACATGAGCGAAGCAGCAGCTCGTCAAAGGCCATAGCGCACCGAAGCACACAAGACAAAGAGGTCACCTGAACTGTGCATAACTAATAAAGAAGTTGGATTCAGAGTTTAAAATGTCCAAAAAAGAAGTCTTCAGACCCATATGGTTTCACTGCCTAATTCTACCAAACATTTAAACCAAAAAAAAATTAACACCAACTCTACAAAATTTCTTCCAGAAAATAGTAGATAAGGGCTCATTTCCAAAGTTATCCAATGTGACCGGAATTTTCCTAATACCAAAACTAACTATAAGAAAACTATGGACGAACAATCTTTACAAACATTGACAAAAAAATATTCAAGAAAATATTAGCAAATTGAATCCGGCAATACACAAATACAATAATGCGCCATAACCAAGTGGAGTTTATCCTGGGTGCGCAAGGTTGGTTTAATATCCAGATTTGTTTCAACGCCGTGCTCTATATCAACAGTCTAAAGAAGGGAAACCACACGATCAGATCAACCGATTCTAGGAGAGCACTTCACAAAAATCACCCGCCATCCACCTTAAACACTCAGCAAACTGGAAATAGAAGGAAATTTATTATGACAAAGGGCTCTATAAAAACAAAAACAAAAAATAAACAAACAAAAACCCTACAGCTAAAATCACATTGACAGTGAAAGACTATATATACTTTTCACACTGGGAACAAAGCAAGGGTGTTTGCTTTCACCTTCCTATTCAAAGTTATACTAAACGGCTTCACCAGTACAATGAGGCAAGAAAATAAATAAAATGAAGGCAATTTGGAAAGGAAGAAATAAAACAGCTCTTATTCCTGACACATGATTTTCTATGTAGAAAATCCAAGACAGCTATAAAAATAGTCCTAGGACTTGTAAGTAAGTTTA